TTAATGAGGAGTTCATTCCAAATTTTCCATCCAGTTTATGATAAGATTTTATTAACTCTGTACAATCTTAGAAGGTCTAACAAAACTGAAGTTCTCTTATTTCCTATTCCTATATTATTTTTTTACTTTAGAGTAGCTAAATAAGCCTGTCATTTAGATAAGACCATCTTCAAGCATGAGAAAGAAAAACAGATCAAATAAGATTAAGAACATTTCTAGTCTTAAAAGTCACTCAGCACTTTCTAATCATTGGCCAATCATGATCCATTCTCTAAATCACATATATAATCATTAGCCGTAGAAAGTAAATGAAACCAAGATCCAAAAAGTTAACATAGAAGAGTGAAGTCCCACTGCATCCCTCCACATTCCACACAAACGTTTAAAAATCATAATAAATTACAGGAAGCCTTGGTTCTAAAACTCAATGATAAATCACATAAATTACAAGAAAACTAGTTTCTAACCTTATGAGGATGAAGTAAGTTAAAAAATGCTCATGTCTTAAGTATCTTCCAGGAAGCTCCTGCTTCGTGACACCCATTGCCTGAACTACAAAATACACCCTAATTGCACAAGCAAAATGAGAAAGAAAAACAGATCAAATAAGACTAGGGACATGTCTAGTCTTAAAAGTCACTCAGCACTATCTAATCATTGGCAAATCATGGTTCATTCTCCAATTGTTATATTGTTATACCTATATGTAATCATTATCAAAAGAAAATAAACGAAACGAAACCAAGATCACAATGTTCACAAGTGAAGTGCCTAATGCTTCCCTCCAAATGTAACGCTAACATTGAAGAATCAGAATAAATTACATGAAGCCTTCGTGACAGCCGTTGCCTCTGTTTGCCTCAGAAAAGCAAGGGCCAACTCCTAAAGTTCAATCATTTCCAGCACAATCAAGCAATCAAGAAAATGGGTAACTCGGAAAATCAACTTCTCCAAAGTTCAATAATTTCTAACATAATCTACACAACCAAACTAATGACATATCCCAAAACTCAACTTCATAAAAAGTCCAATCATTTCAAACACAAAAATCTGCACAGTCATGTATATGAGTATATCAAAACTGAAATCTCTTACCTAGTTCAACCATTTCTAACACAATTCAAGCAAATCAGTATACGCCAAAAACTGAAAACTTCACTACACTAACCTTCATAACTAAGACACTTAAAAGTGAGCATCGTAAAAACTATAAAACTTACGAGATTCGATTTCTGAAGTCATCCTCTTTGCTTCGCTCTGTTACAGAATGAAATAAAAACGCGGGGGCGGTCAGGGAAATGGCAGACTTCAATGCTGGGGAGGCCAAAAACCGGGCGGGTATTCGGGCCAGTTTGAACAGACTTCGGCCTCTCGGGTTTGAATTGAATTTTTTGGTCCAAGGCTCGAGGGAATTAGACCCGGTTCGTTTTTGTTTTCATTTTGTTTTCTCATACTTTTTAATTGAGTTAATAATGATCTTAATTTTGAGGTATGATAGGAGAACAAAAATCTCTTTTAAGGTTTTCGAAATAATAAAAATATGTTTGTTGCTAAATTTTAGGTGTTAAAATAAACAATAGAAGGGCAATTTGGTATATTTACTAACTCATAACAATGTAAATGGATAAATCTATGCATTTACTAACTCATAACAATATAAATTTTAATAGTTCACTAACAATTTATTAACACCAGAGGAATTTTTGTTATTTTGAAACCTCAAAGGAATATTTGTTGTTATAACACACTTTATAGGGGCGTTTGGATCATATAATGTTTTATTATAGGAATATATTATATTAACGGAAAAAAAAATAACCTTGAAGATTACTGTGAATGTTTAGAAAATATGTTTAGTTAGTTCAAATAAATTGGTGAATAATATATTTGGTTTGGAGGATAAATAGATTGGTATATTATATAGATTACTAAATTGCCTTTATTTTTAAATATTAATATAATAGTATTTTTTATTATTATTTTTTGAATCATTTCTTTTAACCCCCTATATTTGAAATTTTGCTAAAACACCTCAATCATATAAAATTTTAATTTGTAGCAAATTCACCCTCACCTACCCCAAGCCACTATCGGCAGCCGATCACCACTACCGGCAATCAACGAAATGGCACACGATTGGTTGTATATGACCGGCCATGTCCCTGAAAAGCTGGAAATGGCCATGGATCACAAATCCATGGCCAAAAAAGGGCCAGATCTATGGTATTTCATGACCAAAGATGTGGTCGTGAAATTGTTATAGATCTAGCTGTGAAAAGCCTAGATCTTTGGTTGTGCCATTTCATAGCCAAAGATCTGGCCATTTTCGACTATGGATTTGTGATCCATGACCGAAAAAGGCCTTACCGGTCATATCTCATCAGTCATGCACTATTACAATGACTGACGTTGACAGTGGTGAGTTACAGTCGACGATGGTCTTAGGTAGCTGGGGGTATTTTGTTAACTTTTAAATTTTTTTTGTGGCTAAAGTGTTTTAGCTAATTTCTCAAATGTAAAAAGATAGGTTAATTGTTATTTGGTAGACATTTGAAGGCAATACTCTCCAAAATGGTTTTTAATTAAGGGCAAAATGGGAAGAAAAATTATATTACTCCGATAATGTTTTAATAACATCCTCTAATAAGGTAATAAGATCACCATCCACATTATCAATAGTAAACACTATTTGCAATAAAAGATTATCATAATATTTTATTACTTGCAAACCAAACATAGAAATCTTACAAAATAAACGAATATTATCTCCGTTATCTTATTTACCCTCTATCCAAACGACCCCATTGTTATTTACGTCTTTTTTCATTTAAAAACATGAGATATTTTCACAAACTATTTTCGTTTTCATAATATAAATGAATAAAATTGTTAAAAGAATTTTATCTCAAGGAGGTCTTGATCAAATAACAAAATTATTCTGAGATTTCATAAATAATACAAATTCTCCTACCGTTAGTATACCGTTATAATTTATAATAAAATGATTTAATAAACATTTACCTAATTATTTTTCTACCGTTTATTTTAACACTAAAAACTTAACTATAGGTAGATTTATATTATTACTGATAGAATTTGAGGTGAGTTTAACTTCTCACCCAGTAAGGCCTTGTTGAATGGGAGGATTACACCCTTTTAGGGCATCTCCAACCCAACGCCAAAACACCAAAATGGTGTGGAAAATGTGTTCCAACCCATCGTCAAACACTACACCAAATTGGTGTAAACGAAGTGACACTGTTCACTTACACCAATTTGGTTGGGCATTGTTCATATACTATAAAATATATTTAATTTTCTTAATTTTCTTATTTGTATTTATGTTAATTTGATTATTATTTATATTAATATTTATAATATAATAATTATATAATTCAAAAAATGATGAAAAATAAAAAAAATGATCGTAATGTTGATGCATTGATTGAGAATCAGATGGAAGCGCCAACTCCCGAAGTTGAAATTGTTGTAGATGAAAATGTCCGATTTCAAAATTTTCTTGCTCGACATAGCGAAATCAAGGATACAGAAGCTCACCATGTTCTTCGAAATACATTAATGGATCATTTATATGAAGAATATACCAATTCGGAAAATTAAATTACTATCAATGTGAAATTTTACTTTTGTGTTATTGTTATTTTATTTTATTTTATTTTTTGGTGGCATTTTATATTAGATGTAATGTTTTTCTTTATCAAATGTAATGTTTATTTGATTAAATAAATGCTTAATTTTATTAAATTAGTATAATTTTTAAAGTAATTATTATTTAATAAAAATATCATTCTCAATAATTAATATATACAAAAATAATTAATGAAATACATTAATTGTTGATTATTAATAGAAAGAAAAAGAAAAATAATATTCTAATGAATATTCTTTTTGGTGTAGTATTTGATGCAATAGGTTGGAGATACAATAGTGAAATACACAAAAAATCACACTAATTTGGTGTGAAACTTGCACCAATTTGGTGTTTGTGTTTGGAGATGGTCTTATAAACAAAGAGGCATAAGCATAAGCGTGTCTAGTCTGTGTGGGATTCCAATAATTACTATAATCAAAGCTAGATTTTTATATATATATATATATATATAATATATATAATATATATATATATATTAATATATATTATATATATATATTAGGGGATTTTTTGTTAACCCTAGTTAAAAATATTTTTTATTTTATGTAAATCAGTGCAACAAATTTACTTCTATTTATTTTTTTCCTTCTTTACGTAAATCAATGCAAAATATACTTTAATTTTCATCAACTAATCTACATTTACTTTGTGTATATACGTAAGAATTACATCTCATTTGTGTTTTTCACAAAAATATACTGTAATTTTTTTTTTTTTTTTTGAATAAATTAAAGGATGTCCGCATTTGTATAAGAGATTCCCGTTTAATTTTCAGAAAATTTCAAATTCTCTACAATATCTTTCTGATCTTTTGTAATTTATGACATTCTTTCACAAATAAATGAAGGATTCGTACACTTGCGCAAGAAATTCCCTATACTATTTTAATAAGTTAAAGAGAGTCTCATGTTTTAGTATTGTACTATCTCTTACATTTTCATTTCGATTCTCAATTTTATTATGTAATTTTTTATGAAGGATAAAGTTCATTATATCTCCTGGGTTACATGCTATTCTTTCTTCATTTTAATTATTTTCTCAATCCCATCAAGGTTTGTCGAAATAATAATAATAATAATAAAAACATGATAAAGAAAATTTTACTAATTCATTTTATAACCGAGTTGTAGATAAATATCCGCACACATATATTCATTCAAATCCCTTTCTTATATTTGTCTAATAATTTTGTAGAAAAGATCAATATTTTTTTTCTTTCTCAAGAAAATAAAATAAAAAATTAAAGCAAGATTATTAGACTATAAAAAGGTGAGAAATCTAGAATATAATAGAGGAAAAAAAAAAAAAAAACTTAATAAAAACCACACCACAACATCAATTATAATTTAGCTAAGGTTTTTGTATCAGAATACATTATTTGAGGAAGATGGTTGATGACTTTGCATACCATATTATGGAGAGCCTAAATAATTAGTAATGATACAAAGAAATATTTTACACACACATGATGATAAACTAAAAATAATAATTTTGATAATAATATAGATGCTCCAATTAATTAATATCATAGGTATGATATATATAGTTGGAGCAAATCCTAGAACTGAAATATTTCATTAGGTATGGTTAGTGGGTAGTCAGTATTAGTAGTCATTTCTCCAAAGTCAGCAATATTTCCAATGTTCTCCTCTACCTGCAAAAATAATAAATAAATTATTGTTTGATTAATTTAATTATCATATATTAATGAATAAATGGTTAATTAATTACCTTATCTTGCAAATATTTATTTGCAGCTTTCAGAATTCCTTCCTGCAGATGAAATTCAAAGATTGCTTTATTAACCAAAGTGGAATATTGCTAAGAGAAACTATTTGAATTTACACAAAACTCTGGGTGTATTTGTTTTCCTATTCTGAAAATTATATTATATTCTATTTAATTTTTAAGTTTGTTAATTTAACTAAATACCTCCAATAAAAAAAAGTTTAAAAATTAACAAAAACACCCCCATACACCCTTTGGCGGTTGTGACAAGCTGCTGACTTTTAATGGGTGCGAGGGGTTTTTTTTTTTTTTTTTTAAGTTTTATATTTTATTGTAAAGGTTTTAGTTAAATTAACAAACTTAGGACGGTTTTATAATTTTCAAATTCTACCTTGTAATAACCAGTCAACTCAATTTTTTCAAAAACGTACCAAAATAATAAAACAAAAACCACCCAGATTGTATTCTACAGTACATTACGTATGAATCTATAATAACTAATATTAGTTTGCACTAATGTCACAAAACAGGTTCAAATTTATAAATATTATTATTCTTTTTCGTTATTAAATATCAGATTTGTAAATAATGTTAAAATATTGTACAAGGGCAAGTAATGATATATAAATGTATTTCAAAATTCAAATTTTTTAATAAGTATATTAAATAATTTATAATTAAAAATTAAATTTTGGTTGGTGATTTAGCTAGCCTGGTAATTCTTATGTTGATCATCGATCATCGTCGTAAACCTATGTTCAGAAACACTATTGTCAGTTTCAAAACTTAGTTCTTCATGATCAAACAATATGTATAATTGTTCAAATAATTATACCCTAAATTTATTTTTAAAGTTAGTCTTAGGATAGAACCATGGGAATGACCCTTTTGTATATAATTTCAAAGCTCAAATCTCAACCCACTCTTCCAATACATATATGAAATATGTATAATTCTTCCTTCCCAAAATGGTTACGAGAGATTCTCTTAGAACCTTACTGTCTATAAAAATATTTCTAACCAATTAGACTGTAAAGAAAATGACTACGCCAGTGATGTCATATATTTGTTCTCATTATGATCTATCTTAATTAATCCTATCTTATTCTATGATGTTTTTGAAACATGGAAATGATACCAAATTTAATATAGGAAATAAAATTGAAATTAGAGTTTAAACTAACCTTGTTCCTCAGCAGATTGATCTCTTGAAACATAATGTCCATCTACATATCCATTATAAATAATATCATAAGTTATAGTTCATGAACAATAATCAACAATATATATATTATTTTCATCATAAACAGAAACTTGAAATTAAAATTAGAATAGATTTACTGATACCTTTGCTGAGCGGATATGATAAATCCATATCTCAAGATGTTTCTCAAGCAGAAGAAGTTCATTCAATGTCATCGTCCCGGCTCCGCCTCCAAACATATAACTGCAAGTCAGCTTTATAAGAAGATTTTGACAGAACGACAGAAATTTATTCAAACAAAAATAGAGAAATCGTGACAGAATTTCTTTAAATTTGTGGGTTTGAACTTTTTTTTTTTTTTTAAAGTCTATTAACTTTAGGTCGTATTTTATTTTACTCTGCAACAGAAAAAAATACCGTATATCCAGATAAATTTAACATCTAGCTCCATCTTAACTATTATAACAATATTTAGCATCTTTTACTTTGTATTTTGTGAAATACACAGATGGATAAATTAATGTATAATTTTAGAATAATTAGGACAATTGTATGTATACCTGAGGCCTTTTTGGAGAATCTCAATCTCTTGCTTCAGCATGTTGATCTCCTCATTTGCATCCTGGTTTGACATATAACATATAATTAATTTTCCATTTTTGAAAAACACCAAGACGACACATAGCTACCAATTAATTTTTAATACAATATAAATGAATAAAGTAGACAGTTTATATATAGTTATTTGATATTTGAAAAGATGCGCCAGATCGAAATACAAATCAATTAGACTTTGATTTATGTCAATTTGAAAATTTATTTATACATAATAAATCTTAATGAAAAAGAGAAGTATTTCATGTCAAGATAATGTCAATAAGAAGTATTTCATACATGCATGAGTTATTTCTAATTAAGATGAATTGTTTTATGTGTGCATGTAAAATTTAACTCATACACATATATATTAATCTACTTATGTATTTTTATGAGTAAACTAATAATAAGGTTCTAGAATTTGGATCCATATATACGAGAAGTCTCGTGTGTGTATTTATATGATAAGAATTCTTGTGTATATAGGAATATGAGTTAAAAGTCCCCGAATTTGAGTTAACTTTTCATGAAAAGAATTCACAAGGCTTTTCAAATTTCTGTCTTTTTACTATCTTGATTTAACTCCTAACTTTTCCCTGTAGGTGTTGAGGTGTAAACTTTATATATTTAAAAAAAAAAAAAAAGCATTTATGTTTGACAGGGTAGAAAGACAGTATATAAAACTTGTTTTATTCTTAGGCCTAAGTTTCATGTAGCCGCATACTGGAGATATACAAATGACACATGCATATTAATTTGGCCATAAATTTTACGACCTAATGTTATTTTATTTTTTTTCCCAAAGAAAAAGAGAGAAATATATAGCAACTTCTGTCGTTGGGGTAATAAAGTTGTGGATGCTTTATCATCTTTTTACATGGTGGGATCATCCTCCTTTTGAATTTCAAAATTGTTTCCATCATGCTTTGGTTTCTCTTTCTTGTTTATCATCCAATTCCTTTTTTTCATTTTATTCATGATAATATATATAGAACACCATAGATCAATTTAAAAAAACTATAGCATGCATTTATCTTCTTCTTCTTCTTTTTTTCTATGTCATTTTCGTCTTATCTGGAATATATGTTCTTGATCTTATTACTACAGGGATCTGATGCTCCAGAATCTTTTTCAACACGTATGATTAATGATTTTATGCCTTTTGTCCCATATTCATTATCACCAAGTGTCTTTCTGACAGATATAAAGAGCTATAGAAAGCTGAATATATAAATTATGAAAATAAGAATAATAATAAATCACATACCGGCACTGCAGCAGGCTGCATCTCCATGGCTGCTTGTTCAGTCTGAGCCGCTGGATTAGCCTTCATGTACCTCTCTATAAGCCCTTGCATAGTTCTATTTACACACCATCAAAAATAAATAAAATAAATAAAATTTCATCTTTTCACATATATGCCTGCATGCATGCTTGAAGAAATTTTTTATATATTTTAATTTTAGTAGTATTTTATCGCATCGAAAACCATTAGTTGGCTTTCCTGTACATTGATGAAAGGTGTATTCCTCAACTTGTAATTTCGTCTCTTAGCTGTTTAAGAATTTTCGAAAAAAAGTGTACATAATATTTATGCCTGTGTTTTCGCCTCTTAGTTGTTTATGTTGAGCCAGACTTCATATTATTGATAGAACCTCTGTATCTAGGAATTTTCGAAAAAAAGAGTACACAAATATTTATGTGTGTTTGTGCGAAACAATAAGAGTGTGTATGCGTGCGTGCGTGCGTGCGCATGCAAAGAGAGCAGAAAGAGAGAGAGAGAGACCCTTTGGTGGCCATTTCATAAAGCTTTCCATGAGCGGAGAAGATGAAAACTCCAATCTCAGCATCACACAAAACGGAAAGCTCCTTAGCCTTCTTGAGGAGCCCTGCACGGCGCTTACAGAAGNAGAAAAAGAGAGAAATATATAGCAACTTCTGTCGTTGGGGTAATAAAGTTGTGGATGCTTTATCATCTTTTTACATGGTGGGATCATCCTCCCTTTGAATTTCAAAATTGTTTCCATCATGCTTTGGTTTCTCTTTCTTGTTTATCATCCAATTCCTTTTTTTCATTTTATTCGTGATAATATATATAGAACACCATCGATCAATTTAAAAAAACTATAGCATGCATTTATCTTCTTCTTCTTCTTTTTTTCTATGTCATTTTCGTCTTATCTGGAATATATGTTCTTGATCTTATTACTACAGGGATCTGATGCTCAAGAATCTTTTTCAACACGTATGATTAATGATTTTATGCCTTTTGTCCCATATTCATTATCACCAAGTGTCTTTCTGACAGATATAAAGAGCTATAGAAAGCTGAATATATAAATTATGAAAATAAGAATAATAATAAATCACATACCGGCACTGCAGCAGGCTGCATCTCCATGGCTGCTTGTTCAGTCTGAGCCGCTGGATTAGCCTTCATGTACCTCTCTATAAGCCCTTGCATAGTTCTATTTACACACCATCAAAAATAAATAAAATAAATAAAATTTCATCTTTTCACATATATGCCTGCATGCATGCTTGAAGAAATTTTTTATATATTTTAATTTTAGTAGTATTTTATCGCATCGAAAACCATTAGTTGGCTTTCCTGCACATTGATGAAAGGTGTATTCCTCAACTTGTAATTTCGTCTCTTAGCTGTTTAAGAATTTTCGAAAAAAAGGGTACATAATATTTATGCCTGTGTTTTCGCCTCTTAGTTGTTTATGTTGAGCCAGACTTCATATTATTGATAGAACCTCTGTATCTAGGAATTTTCGAAAAAAAGAGTACACAAATATTTATGTGTGTTTGTGCGAAACAATAAGAGTGTGTATGCGTGCGTGCGTGCGTGCGCATGCAAAGAGAGCAGAAAGAGAGAGAGAGAGACCCTTTGGTGGCCATTTCATAAAGCTTTCCATGAGCGGAGAAGATGAAAACTCCAATCTCAGCATCACACAAAACGGAAAGCTCCTTAGCCTTCTTGAGGAGCCCTGCACGGCGCTTACAGAAGGTGACCTGCCGGTGCACCGGGTTCTCGATACGCTTCATCTGAACCTTTCCACGAGCCATTTGGATTTGGTTTGATCCAAGTATTGATTGGCTTTTTTTTTTTTTGGGTATAATTTGCTACAGTGAATGGTGTTGTTTGTGTGCTTTCTCGGCAGCCAACCTCCGACTAGTGTGGACTAGCTTCGGGCTGTTGCAATACTCTTGGGGGATCCCTCTCAAAAACTTAATTAAAACTTTGCCTCTATTTTGAGCCTTCTTCAACCCTTAAATACTTGCCATGGATTCTCTTCAATCTCTTAAGCACATTAAAATAAGTAGTCTGTTTTTCCCTTTAATCTCTCACTTACCAGTCATTTTAAAGTCCTCTTGTTCTCTAATTTTTTTTTATTGATTGTAACGGTCCCACTTTAAAATTGGAATAAATGATATTGGCATGTTCAATCAAATCAAATGATGTGACATAATTTATTAAATAGTTCAGAGTGTACGGTGTCTGAAACATCGGAACCATGTTTATATTGCGAGAAATGAGCAGTAAATTCAGAATTTTATTTTGGAGAGGGTTAAAATTTTTTTTAATCAACACATCATAACCTAACAATGTTTCTTTTAAAAAATGTGGGGAAATGGTATTATGAGTTATGACAATGAATTTATCGCTCTACAAGCACGTATATTGAATAAAATCTTATCCTAAATACATTTATTTTAAAAACATAAAACTAACAGTAACTGCAATGGTTAAAATAAATGAAATAACAAAAAAAAAAAAAAAAAAAAACCTAAAATATCACTGCACTATCACATCACCATACAACCATTAAGTAAATTTGTGCCACAGTTGAGTTTTTCCTCTCTTGTATAGCTTTAGCTTGATGGTGATTAATAGTTATTAAATATATCAATTAGCATGACTTTAATATCATGTCGGTTATACCTGGGATACTACAGTCTTTCTCTGATCGGAGAGAAAATAAAGGCTGCAGAGAAATATGTAATTTCCTGGCTGCTTATTCTTCTTCAACTTCTCGTTAGTGGGTTAACAGTACGTGGCCCCCACTAAGTCGATTAATTTAGTGCTTTTTGGAGACCATTGGAAGATTGAGGAAAGGCTTTTTGTGGGCAAGTTTCAGAGTCTCGTCATCGTGTAATTTGCTTTTCATGTGCAACCCATCTCTTTCATCGACCAATGAGCTGCCCATATGTAGAGGTTCCCTCCCTTTTTCCATTCACTTTTTCCTTATTTCTTGGCCTTCACGCGTTGCCCTTAGTTTCTATGACAAAAATCTGATGCATTTCATAGCTTTTCAATCGTATAAACAATCTTCTTTTTCAAACTTTAGAATAAAAGTAAACCCTAAAAAGTCAGGACAGCACTTATCCAGCAGCCCCCCATCCCCCACCACTTATACTTTTTTCTCTTTATTTTTTTTAAATAATAAAATTTTCCCATCTTAACTTCGAAGGCAAGAATCTTGTTAAATCACTTACACTCAATAAAAACGCTAAAAGAGAACTCCCTTTGACAATCTAAATCATAAGTTGTCTTCTGAACCTCAACATTTGACACATGTAATCCTCCCCCATGTTGCCATTTGAGCAAATACATTTTCTCTCAATGCCTATGCATAAAGCTTCGATTTCTCAGGTCTTAACACAGATATCCCTGAGGTTTAGTGAAAGAAACAAAGAGATTCATGGATTTTGGAATAAATCACTTACACTCTTGTAATTGACAGATGTTTATGAAAGTTAATTTGATACAAAATGTTGGATATAATAACGGATGTACCTTTATTTTGTCTTTTGTACGTCCTGCCATAAAAAGAAGTTAATATTGACATTTGCCAAATGATTGAAATTTCAAATACATTAAATGATTTAAAAAATGTTAAACTTTGATATTTGATAAAACATCTGGGACATTAAAAACTAGTATTTTTCATTTTGTAGACTATTTTACCCTCATAATGATTACTTTTCACAAAACTTCGTCACTTATAGGGGTGTAATTATTCAATTCCGAAACCTGTAGATCCCTTTTTTCTATCACAAAATCTTGGGGATGTTCATGTGAAAACCTCTTGGATTCCATGATATCTTTGATAAACTAGCGATAAAGACATGAGGGATTAAAGTTACATGTTCACTCAATATTTTTTTCTTTCTCTTTTCCCGGATTTTTTTATTTATATGATGGCCAACATCGAACTGATGAGTTATTTTAATCATCTTTAATTGGTGTACAACATATATAAAAAACAGAAACATCAGATCAATGAATTGTAACAATTCCAATCCCTTAAAACTAAACCAAAAACCCAACAATAAGAACTAATTGAAAATGGATTTTAATAAAGAAGAGTATAGATGCCATGACATGACGCATGTATATTATGCATTACACACATAATTTTGACAAAAAATTACTTAAGAATCTTATTATTCCTACTACACTAAAAATATTTATAACAAAATAATAAGTATTGATATGGTACTTTATGTGGTCAGGTCATGTCAATAAATCATAATAATGTAATATATACGTACCAACATACATGATACAAATTTGAATTTGACTAATCTTTACAAGTTTTTGGAGATATATTCTCATATCATGCATCAATTATTGGGTAAATATTCTTATAGTATGTAAGATAAGGTAGAATAACTTATAACATGATGGGAAGATATATTTTTATATTTTAGCTTAATATTTACCTTATCAAAATATAAAATTTCCATACATATAGAAGCTTATTAAGAATTATTAAAGAAATTATTTCATTATTGATGAATAGGGTTTACTTTATATTACTCAAGAATTTGCTATTCCTTTCTTAAAGATATAATATGACTTTCTTTTAGAATAAATGAAGGGGAAAAAGTGACTGAAATAAGGACTATTCGTTTCTTTTTGGAGAGCGAGGTAATGGATTGGTGGTGATTAGTGGGGAATATTAGGAACATTGTGCATTTCTCATCTTGAATATAAGAAATTAAAGCATGATTTGAACGTTGCATTTATTGTATTTGTCTAAGTATCAAATTGGTATAAATATACAACTTGTTAGGTATCAACTTAAATACTAAATATACAACTTGGTACGGCAGTTAAACTTTTAGAATATGTTTCTTAGTATGGCATTTCAATGGCAGTTCAGAGCATCACTTTTAAAAATCACTTTACGGCTAAATTTGATCTTTTTGTTTATTATGTCTTTAATTTTCTAATTACTATGTGTTCCAACAGTGAAAATAGTTTAATCTTTTAATCTCTCATTATTGGAAAGTTCTTTCTTAATCACTTGTGTAATTCAATATTCTGATTGTATTACATTAGAAAGATGTTTTATTTCAACACCGACATTTGCATCAACAAAAAACTGATGGGAAAAGTACATCTTTGACCTTATGTAGCGACCATTGCTTTGTTTTTCTAGAAGAATTTAATTAACAAGAGTAGGGTTTCTCCATCATCAAAGCCGGATCAAATATTACTAAAAGACATGCCGATAGCATTTATAAACGTATATGTATGTATGAAGAATCAGCTTGACCAATGAACAAGAAATCAAAGAAGATATTGTTTTTCTTTTCTCTACCATACATTCCGGTCATAAAAGGAACACAAAGTTTGATTCCTGATTATGATAATGTGTTGACTATAACCAAAAGCTTTCAAGGGCTATCGATTTCTCTCTTTTTTTGTTTTTTTTTTAGTTTTTAATTTTTTTTCCCCTCCTTTTTATAAATGCATTTGTGATATTCTTCCTCGTCCCTCAAACTCTTAATTTTATTATTTTTTTTTTTTTAAAAAAAAAGTGGCTTTGATCCTATAAAATTATATACTTGTAAGTTTTTTTTCAATCAAACAGAAGAAATAATTCTCTATCTATTAATGTTTTATGAGTTAATGACTTGTGAAAAAATTATGGTTAATTCATCATTGTCATTGGACTAAAAGTAGCTAATGATAATCCATTTGTTGTTTATTTCATAATTAATTGCCATAATATGCAATTAAGATTGATTTTCTTTTGCTGTGAAATATTTATATAATTCCCTTAATTTTTACAGCATGGAAAGCATATAGGAAAGGAATTAAATTCAAACAAGAAGCACTAGACAGCCCGCATCTAAATTTTGTTAAGCTAACTTCCTTTTCTCTATCGTGAACCTTCTCTTTCCATGGTGCTTATTAGGGCTTTGACCTCTTGCTTAGCTCTGGACTTTCCTTATTTGAGCAATTAGAATGGACTAAAGCCTAGGGCAAAGATACGTCATACACTCTAATGGTGAAATTTTTAGGTATAAACAATGCACTTGCATCCAACTACCGAGATGCATATGAATGAACTCGCTGATCTTAATCCTTCCATTCAACAAGACCTTATTGAATGAAGAGTTAGACTCACCTCAAACTCTATCATGATATCAGACCCAGGTTCAGTTGAGCTAAGTACTTGATCAGTGAATAATGAGTTAGAGCTAGCAACTACCTCCATTAACAGGCATGACCCAACATGTATGCTTGATCGTGAAGGAGAGTGTTAGAGTCTCACACTAACTAGGCACGTTCAAGCTTACTAGTTTATAAGAAGGGGTAACCCTCCCTTCAACAAAACCTTATTGAGTGAGAAGTCAGACCCATCTCAAATTCTATAAGATCTGACATTTTCTTATTGATTGGATTCACATACATTTGTTGCATCTAAGACTTTTTATTTATTCTGACCTTTGTTCTACCATGCTTTATTCATATATACATGATTCCATGAATAAAATACATGAGAAATGGTAAAACACAATAACCAACATCAATTTAATTAGAATTTACGTCATTTTGGACCTGTCGCATGTCTTTTACATATATAAAACAGATATGAGATATGTATTACAAAGAAGACAAGTGTAAATCCGAAATGTTACAACTACGGTGTTTCTTATGAAGATTATTTAAAAATTACAAATATGTCAACTATATAAGTTAATTAAGATAACATTAAATTATATAGATGTTTTTCATAACTTAACAAAATTAATCAAGAATTACAAGGGGTTCTCTTCTTTTATCCAGATTTACTCAAAACTCATTTTTAATAAAATTACTTTAATTGATCCTAATTAGTGAATATCTTACCTATGTTCATGGTCATATAAATTCTAGGGGAGTACAAAAGAACCAGCCAGAACCGGAACCAATGGGTACCTGGTATTCCCTCACAAGGTAGGTTCTGATTCTAGAAATCAAGAACCGATCTGTTTCGGTTTTGGTTTTGGTTGCAAGGGTACTATGAATCAGAATCAAAATCGGAACTAAGATCTAGGTACTCGTTAGGAATCATGATTGAATTGTAATTTTTATAAACTATTGGGGGTCTATTGTAATTTTAAAGG